ACCCGCCATTGTCAGAATTGCTGATTAGTTGCAGCCACTGATTGGGCAACAATTTGTGGCTCGGCTCTTTTAACAAAATTTGACTTTTGTTGAACTGGCAGGGCAACTTACTGTTAGATTTTCAGCGTGATTCTGGCAAAATTCTGAAAGTATATGGCCAGACTAGTTGAACTGAGTAATGCCACCTATTAACCAATTGAACTGATCAGTATGCACAAGGTAGTTCCAATTCAACTGGATACCAAGAAGGTCAGCACACAGGCAGGCTGTCTAAGCTGGTCATCAGGCAATGATAACCTTGAAAAGCAAACCCAAATTCCCCCCACCCCACTAAAAAATAAACTCAAACAATGGTAGAATAGATGGCGCATCCTCTTTCACCCACCACAGAAGCCATGGGTTCACAGTGGATGGCTGGGGCTGCTCCTTATTTGAAGTCACCCACTGACCATTTATAATCCCTCCAAGACAACTATTATGTTAATATGTTGGATGAGGTCAGCCAAAGGAATCTATCTTTCTGTGCAACTGGAGTATCCATGTTTGGTTTTCAGAAGACTAAAGGAACTTCATGGTCACCCACTGTATCTGGCAAGGTCCTTCAACTTGATAGCTATACAAGGCTAGTCGATAAGTCGACCTGACTGCACCGACACTAGAACTGAAGTCTGGGTAGACTCAGATTTTTAAAGAAGAAACACTGCTCTCAAATTCTAAAAAAACAAAAAAATACCTGAAATGCATCTTTGTTCTAATCTGCGGCAGAATCCTACATTACTATAACAGCCAATAAAGTTTAATACTGTGCATGTATGTGCTGAAGAAATGAATCCTTCAATGATGAAAGAGCTCCCCCTGCCGGCCAGTGGATTTTTAATGCTTTGGTTTACAGCAGTCTCTCTGAATGTGGAACTTTGTGATGAGCCGCAGTATCTCTACATAGTCTCACAAAGCTTTAGCATTCAAACTGTTAACATTTTAAAGTACAACATGGCCGTCAGCCCCCTGTAGTTATATTGGCAGCCCATACACAAGACTCATACTGTGCATGCATGCATTTATTAAATAGTTGACATGCTTGGCAATGTAAAGTCAGTACAGATACTTATTTATATTAAACTCATATCCATCTTTCTAGCATGGCTCCCTAGTGACATGAAATTCTAGAAATACTGACCACCGTCTCTGAGAGGTCTTCGTTCTGGTTTGGGCTTTGGGGCAGAGGCCATTGCTGAGGTACTTGCAGATGGCTCCTGTGGCTGCACACAAAGAAGAGTAGTGATTTCAATAAATGCTTTTCTGTAATAACTCACCTTAGATAAAACTCCCTAGACGTTTCTAACCATGCATATTTTTATTTCTAGACATACACAGTACTGGATATACAGTTATAAGATCCTAATCAAATTGACTTTTGAAAGTTCTAAAACATGAAGACTAAAGCTGGCCATACACTATACAAATTTCAGCCGGTTCTTGATGAAACTCGCACACTGGGTTCCGCTGTCGGCACCCTTTTGGCCGGCATCCCTTGATCAACTGATCAAAGGAGTCGGTCGGAAAATCTTTGAACGAACAGAGCCGGCAGCCAATCATGCCGCCTCTGTTCGGGTATTCTGAACACAATGCAAACAGCGGGAGATTCCTCGATCAATGCTCTTAAAGCATTCATGGAGGAATCGGTAATTTTTTCTTCGTTTAGCCCGCAGGTTGAAAGAAGAAAATATTACAGTGCATGGCCAACTTAACTATATATTTTTTGACCATGCTTCACGCTACATGTTCACCTGTCCGACTATCTCCCACTCTGACTGCCTTTAGAAGATCCCTTAAGATTTATCTCTTCAGGGAAGCCTATCCCACCTCAACCTGACCACTGAACTATCACTTTCTCAAACAATCAACACACAGCTACCTCCTCATGTATCACTTGCCCCTCCCTTTTAGATTGTAAGCCCTCAGGGGCAGGGCCCTCCTTACCATCTTGTCTTGTAATTATAATGTCTTCCTTCTATTGTAAAGCGCTGCGCAAACTGTTGGCGCTATATATATCCTGTATAATAATAGTTATACAGCCAAGTGCCATTGTCCTCCCACAAGTCACTAATGGCCAAAACAAGCACGGATATCCAAGAAGCTGGCAGGATTCTGTTCAACAAACCCGAATCTACATCCTCACCTGACTGAGGCGAGAAGCCACCTTGTAACTCTTTCCTTCCTTCATGCTCTCCCAGCTCTCAATCTTCTGACGCCTCTTTTCTTCTTCCAGCTAAGAACAAACAAAATAAGAGGAAGAAAATATCAGAAGCAGGTCA